ATGAGTTCGAGCCCTGTGTCGGGCTCTGTGCTGACAGCTCAGAGCCTGGAGCCTGCTTCAGATTCTGTGTCTCCCTCTCTCTCTTCCCTCCCCCCACCCTATCTGTCAAAAATAAACAAACACTAAAACACATTAAAAAAATCATCTGTGGACTTAATAAAAATGCGGTTTTCTGGATCCTCCCACCAGAGACTGATTCATGGGGTCCCAGAAATAGCACTGGGGCCAATGGGCTCTGTCTATTCTACACATCATACCCTCTGCTTTTTGCTTTTTCCATTACCAATTCAGTGGCAGGAGAAAAGAGGTAGCTGGCTCTTACCTCTCTGGGCTCACTCACAGATGAGAAATTCACAATCTTGTCCATTTATATATTAATCTGACAAATATTTACTGAATGCCTACTCCCTATAATGTTCTAAGTATTGGAAATACAATGGCGAACAAAATACAGTCTCTCCTCTTGTGGAGTTAATATTCTAACATAGGAGAAAGACATTAAACATAAAGTCATACTATGACAAAAACAAGGGAAGGTGATTTAGAGTGACAAGGTGTTTTAGATAGGATGGTCAAGGTAAACCTCAAGGAAGCAGTAATGTTTGAACAACAATCTAAAAGTGAGAGAGCAAGCCATGCCAACACCTAAGGGAAGAGAGTTACAGAAGAGGGAGGAGCAAATGCAAAGGTTCAGAGACAGGAAAGAACTGGGTGAGTCTACGGAACAGCTAGTTGGCCAGTGTGACTGGAACAGAGAAAAAGACTTGTAGAAAATGAGGTATGGGGTAGCCAGGAGCTGGACCATGCAGGGCCTTAAAGACTGTGGAGAGGACATTGAATTTCATTCCAAGTAAAATGAGAAGCCAATGAAGATTCCAAAGGAATGAAATGATGTGTTCTATCACTGTTGACAGTGTCCTTTATGATTTTCTACCACCGTCTTCAAATCATCACTCACCATCATCTATTTATACTGACAATCAACATATACTACAACTTCCTACATCTGATACAATCACTAACTAGTGACATAGATTGTTTTCCCTCATCTGTAAAATAAGTGACTTGTACAAGATCACCCATAATTTTCATCCTGGCTTTATTATTTTATGAGCTTAGATATGTGCTACTCAATACACTAGGTACTTGTCACATGTGGCTATTTCATTTTAAATCAGTTAACATTAAAAATTCAGTTCCTACAGTAGCTAGTGGCTACTGTATTGGACAATGCGGATGTAGAACATTTCTATTATCAGTCATCACCGAAAGTTCTCCTGGACAGTGCTGCTCTAATTGATTTCTTCTGGCTTATCTTCTTGTTTACAGCCATGTTCTATATTTTCATCCAACAGTTCATCTGTTTTACTCTTTACATTTAACCTACAGAATGTACCTAACCTCAAAGGGTGAGGAAGGAGTCTTTTTTCTAAATGAATAATCCATTCTGTCTACACTGATTTAAAATAACATCACTTTACGGGGCTCCTGGGTGGCTCAGCCGGTTAAGCGTCTGACACTTCATCTTGGCTCAGGTCATGATTTCATGGTTCATGAGTTTGAGCACTGCATCAGGCTCTGCGCTAGCAGTGTGGAGCCTGCTTGGCATTACCTCTCTCCCTCCCTTTCTGCTCCTCCTCCTCTCGTGTTCTCGCCCTCTCAAAATAAAAAACTTTAAAATAATATCACGGGGGTGCCTGGGTGGCTTAGTTGGTTCAGTGTCCAACTTCGGCTCAGGTTATGATCTCACAGTTCGGGAGCTCAAGCCCTGCATCAGGCTCTCTGCTGTTACCACAGAGCCCACTCTGGATCCTCTGTCACCTCTCTCTCTGCCCCTCCCCAGCTCATTCTGTCAAAAAAAATAAACATTAAAAAAAATAAAATAACATCACTTACATTATCATGATAAACAAATGAGCAAACATTAAACTATGAAAACAAAGACAGTGTCTATTTTTATTTGCCACAGTATTCCCAGCATTTGGTATAAATGAAGTCTTTAATAACTATATGTTCAGTGAATGAATAAATACTTTCCATTCTTACTTGTACTTGTATTTGTTTCTGGGCATTATATGTTGATCTTTTCATTTGTTTCTTCTGGCTCCCATTCCACACTATTTACTGTTTTCATTATAGATGTATACAGTCATTTTAAAATATAGATTCAAGTACTCTCTCCTGTTCTCATTTTTTCAAAAAATGTCCTGTTTTTTTTCCATACTAATTTCACGAATTTTAACTACATGACCTAAAATATCCTGGCTGTAGCCCACTACTAACTCAGTATGTCCTTAAAACAGGACCTTATTACCCCCATGGAATCCCATTCTTCAGAGCCCACTGATTGCCTGGGAAAATCCCTGCCTTCACTGACCCACACTTTAACACTCCAAAGCCAACACATTCCACTCTTCAAAATGACCCTGAGCAAGAGACATTGTCATGTACTATAATTAAGATTGCCCCAATAGCCCTTGTCTTGCCTTCCTCTTAAACCTGGGTTTGTGAGAAAGCTTTACACTTGTAGTCACATCAGAACACACCTTGACCTCGATGAATCAAATCCCTATAATGAAGGCTTTCATATCCCTCCAAGGAGTGCATTTTTGCCTCCTGAGAGCTCCTAACAGAACACCTAACCCACAGGAGGAGCAGAGCTATTTCTTGAACAAAGATGAAAATGCCGGCTTAGGAACAAAGGAAGCTCACTGGGCTTTTGGGGACCTCCTTTTAATGGATTGAAGAACATGAGGACCAGATCACTGAATGAATGGGACTTTGTTAGCTGGGGAATTTCAGAATAAAAAAGCAAGATATTCATATACAACCTGAAAAACAAAGCACCTCAGGGAGAAAAAATCCTTCCTTACCTTGGACATGGCTTTAAGAATTTAAGAATTTATGACAGCTCTTCTGTCCACCTCCTTCAGGCTCCTCAATGGAAGGGCAGTGTCTGGAAAAACAGAGCTGGAGAGGGATAAAGAAACCATAAATAGCACTGTCAAGTAAGGATTATTTTTCTCTTCACCCATGAAATCTGTTCATTAGTGAAATAATCCAAGGCTTCATAGTAAAAAGTTAGCCCAACTGGAATCTAGGTCTGACTTTTTAGTCTTTCCATCAGATAATGATAGGAAAAGGGAATATGTTACCACCCTTACTACAAAATGAGATAAAGCTACAAACAATGCCTCAGAGAAAGCATCTTTAAAAAAATTTTTTTAACGTTTATTTATTTTTGAGACACGAAGACATGAAGACAAAGCAAAGCACGAGTGTGGAAGGGGCAGAGAGAGGGGGAGACACAGAACCCAAAGCAGGCTCCAGGCTCTGTGCTGACAGCAGACAGCCCAATACAGGGCTCGAACTCAGGAACCAGGAGATCATGACCTGAGCCAAAGTCAGCCGCTTAGCCAACTGGGCCACACAGGTGCCCCAGGGAAAGCTTCTTTATACAGAGTAGGCATCAGAGGGGTCATGTTGTCTGGAAGACACTGGACCAAAGAGTCAGAACACTCTGCTTGTAGCCCTGGCTTATGACAAACTCTACCTGGAAACCATTCTCTGAACTTTTCTGAGCAATTTCCTCAAAAAAGAGATGGGCGAGAGGGCTGTGCATTCGCAGTCACTGAAACTCCTAATCATGAGTTATTTTCTACTAAACCTCTCTGCCTTGGAGAGCAAAGCAATTATCTCAGAAGCAGCATAAGGTAACAGTAAGAACCACCAGGTTTGGGGATCAGAACACCTGGCGGCAGATACTCAGTCTACCACTCACGAGCTCTGCAACCTCCATGATTTAGGTCTAACCACTCCAAACCTCAGTTTCGTCATCAGTGAAATGGTACCTACTCCCTATCAGTTGCTGGAAGGATCATGAGATGATGCACAGGAAGCATTCCGCCTAGTGCTTGGCACATCCCTTGTGCTCAGTAGATGTCAGTGATTTATGGTCACAAATAGCACACAGTAGGTCTCCTCTTCTATTCCTCACCTACTCTAGAGCCCAGGAGAGGAAGGGAAAGAGCCTCCTTCTGTGCCAGAGAGGGCTAAGGCCCAGCAGCCTCCTCATCTGCCGTCCAGGCCTGAAGCTGGGGCTCCCCTCTCCTCTCTCAAGCGTTCCCTTCCATCCCAGTCCCACTCAGGCTCGCCCTGACCGCCCGATCTTCGCGAACACCCCCACCCGGCCGCCGCAGGAGCCACACAGTCCTCCTGCTGGCGGCTGGCCTGGCACCCGTCCCCTCACAGTGGGTCGCACTGTCACACCAACAGAAGGTCACACAACCTCACGCCGTCTCACAGGACCACACACACAGCTGCACACTCACCGTCACTGTCATGGTCACAGACGCTCGCACAGGCACACACAGGCGCACGCACGTTGTGACATGGTCTCCCACGGTCACAGGCCCCCTCGCGCGCCCACTCCAGCCCCGCAGGCCCGCTGGCGCGCGCGCCCATCCCCGACATCCTCACCGCCTCCTCCCCGAGGGTCGGCACCTCCCTGCGCGCCGTCGGCCGCCGGGAGCCCAGCGGCCCGCGGGCCGGGGC